CCCTGTCTTGGCTCTTTGTCCATCTGCCTGTCTGTCCATCTGCCAGTTTGTTTTCCACCAGACATTTCGTGAGGGCCCAGTGTCAACAGGCCCTGGGAGGACGGTGGCAAACGAGGCAGACCCAGTCCCTGCCCCTTGCGGGCTCCCAGGGGAGGGGTGCCAGTCCCAGATAGAACAGCACAGCAGAGGAATGCGCGCTGAAAGGAACGGAAGCTGACACCTGAGAAGTGAATGGCTAAGCGGGCCCAGAGGGAGGCATTCCCGCCCGAGGCGTGGTGTGGTGGTGCGTGCAGGGCACGGCGGCCTGGGAGATCCTGGCCAGGTCGGGGCAGGAAGAGGCCCCCTTAGCCCCGTATGTGCCTCTGTGTCTTCCCCCTACAAGGCTGAAAGCTCCAGAAGGGCAGGGCTTCTGTCTTCCTCATTCACAGCCACGTCCCCAGCCCTTGGGAGGGAGCCTGGCACGCAGTAGGCGCTCTGCCTATTGGCTGAAGGAACGAAATGTTTCCATGAGCACCGAGACGCAATTCAATTTTCACTTTAGAGAAAGTGCTCCCCCTCCCACTCCCAGCCTGGCTCCCCTCTGCACGCAGGCACGGTCAGCCCTCCGCTCCACTGTCCACCTGCGCCTTCACTGCGTGCCCCACGGACAGACGAGGAGCTGAGAGACACGGCCCTAAAGCACAGCACCCCCTCTGCCACTCGCACCGCAAGCACTTGTGTGTGGGCCGCATTCCAAGCATTCACTTAATTGAAAAGATTGAGGGGGAAAAAAAGAAAAGTTGGCAGCTGGCCACCCCCAGTGTGTCACTTGCTGTGGCCCCGAGCTTGGTGCTTCCTGAGGCTGACGTGGGGGCAGGAACGTCTGGCCTGGGGCCAGGGCACCCAGGGCCTGGCCTCGGGAGCTGGGAGGGGGAGAGGGCATCTCAGAGGCTGAAGGGGCTGGGATTGAACCTGAAGTCACCCGCTTCCCAGCTGCAGGACCTCCGGCCTGGCCCCGCCGCCCGCTCTGTGCCTGGGTCTCCTCCTCGCCACCCTGAGGGTGGCCCCACCGTCCCGGCCGGCCTCTCACGAGGGTGGCCCTCCGGCTCCCTAAAGCACCCAGCACAGCGCCCGCGTGGCCGCGCGTTCCCCAGCGCGGTCGCTGATTCTGTCTCGCGTCCTCGTCACCTCGGCCCCACCTCACTCTGGCGTCCCGTGATTCCCTCCCAGGTCCCCAAGGCGCCTTGGCACTTGGCAGCATTTCTCCGGGAATATCTCTAAAAGATAAACACGTGCTCTCCAGCACTTCCGGTGGTGAGAACTCAAACTCAGCAGGGGTGTTGCAATTCCTAAAAGAGATGGGGAGCACTGACGTACATAGGCCAGATGTTGGGCAGACAGCTGGGGAGACCGGCAGATGGAACCGAGGGAGCTCATGGGCTCCACGGGACCAGCAGAATCATGTTTCCCGTTAGTTAAGCCTGCAGAGCCCGTCCAACTGCCGGTGCTCTCGGGTCCTTCTCTCTCTCCTCCTCCTCCTCCCTGCTCTTTCCCTTCCTCACCGCCTCCCACCCCCTCAGTCCGCTCTCCCCGACCTTCGGCCAGAGCAGCATATTGCAGGGAGGGGATCTGGAGCCCAGCCAGTCATTCGCAGGCTGCTCCCAGGATCTGCCAACCGGAAACCCAGCCAGCCCGGGACCTGATTGGGATGGGGCAGGATGGCACCTGCCGGGTAAAGTGGGGCTTTTTAAACTCCTGGGCACCCTGGGAGGGATTCCCGGGAGCCTTCTCCGCAGGAAGTGGGTGCATCAGGATCTTGTAGCTGCTGCTGCTGGCTCCGGGGCTGCACGTGCTTGGTGTTTACGTCGCTTGGCTGTAGAGAAGGACGGCGTTAGTTGTCCTGGGCTAGGGTCCTGCTGCAGGAACTGCGAGGCCTGTGAGCAGCTGCTGCCCCTCCGGGTGCTGCACGAGAGCCCATTTTCCTCCCTCCGAATAAAAAGGGCTCTGCTGTTCCTCAGGCCTGGTTCCAGGCCTCCTCCCTGCTTGCTGCCCGGCCTCCCTGACCTCATCATCCAGCTATAAAATGAGCAATGGTCTAGAGCAGGGTTTTCACATATTTTTAAGTCCTGGAACCCTGCTGTCGGCCTGTGCAGGCCGAGGAGGACTGTGGGCGATGGGGGAGACCAGGGTCTGTCTGCAGGCTCCGCCGATGGCTGCCTACGGCCATGGGGACCCCCGAGGTCTGGCGGTGGGGCCGGCAGGCTGCTGGGTGACACCTTCTTCCACATACAGAAGAGCTCAAAGTGGTGCTGCCCAGTGGAAACCAGGGAAGAGGGCCAGCCACCCACCCGCCTCATCAGGCTCCTGGGCCTTCCTACAGGCAGGCCAGCTCGACTGCCGGCCTGATCATCCTAAGACAGCGGTTCTCAACCTGTGGGTCGCGACCCCTTTGGTGGTCGAACGACCCTTTCACAGGGGTGGCCTAAGACCATCCTGCATATCAGATATTTACATGACGGTTCGTAACAGTAGCAACATTACAGTTATGAAGTAGCAACGAAAATAATTTTATGGTTGGGTCACCACATGAGGAACTGTATTTAAAGGGCCAGAAGGTTGAGAACCACTGTCCTAAGAACTCTCCCAGCTTAAAGTCATGTGGGCAAGTCCTTGTGCGGGCGGTCCGGAGGGGCAGAGGATCTTGCCAGGAAATGTGGACACTGTCGTGGACGTAGAAAGTGCACCTCTGAGTGAGTCACTGTACCTCTCGGCTCCTCTGCTTCCCCATTTGTAAAGTGGGGGTGTTGCCCGGCCGCGGTGGCTCAGTGGTTGAGTGTCGACCTATGAACCAGGAGGTCACAGTTCGATTCCCAGTCAGGGCACATGCCCGGGTTGAAAGCTCAATCTCCAGTGTAGGGCATGCAGGAGACAGCCAATCAATGATTCTCTCTCATCATTGATGGTTCTATCTCTCCCTCTCCCTTCCTCTCTGAAATCAATTAAAGCCCTAACCGGTTTGGCCTGTGGACTGAAAGGTCCCAGGTTCGATTCTGGTCAAGGGCATGTACCTTGGTTGCGGGCACATCCCCAGTAGGGGGTGTGCAGGAGGCAGCTGATCGATGTTTCTAACTCTCTCTCTCCCTTTCTCTCTGTAAAAATTCAATAAAATATATTTTTTAAAAAATTAAAAAAAAGAAATCAATTAAAAAATATTTTTAAATAAATAAATAAAATGGGATTGCTCTAGGTCAGGGCTGCTGGGTATTGAGCACACATCCTGCCATTCTGCTGCCCATGGCAGACATGGCTAATGGATCACAGAACTCTGTCTTGCTGATGTTCTTTCTCACGGCCCCAGCCCCCGCTGCCCCACTGGTGCCCTCTCTAGATGTTTTCTTCCGTCTCCCAGGTCATTCCAGGCCGCCGCCAGCACTGTAGAGCCAGGAGCGGGCTGGCATCTTGAGACTGTTGTGGGCTCATTGGCCTGTACACAACAGAACTCCAGATGGAGTGAGAAGGGCAAGGCATTCCACTACAGCAGCGCTGTCCTGGTTCCCGAGCCTCCTCCCGGCGCCATCTCGGCACCTTGGCGTTTGGCATATCTGGGAACCCCCTGGACTCTATATTCTTAACTTAATGTTTTTGTTCAAATAGATTAGCTTTTTTACTTAAATTATTTTTAAAGGGAAATGAGCCGTCTACCGTACATGGAAAGCCAATAGCCCTTGCTAGAAACAGAAGGAAACTAAATACAAAGAAGAAAGAAAATCAATGTGCCAACGCTCTTCCTCGCTAGTGTTGCCTGCCCCGGGGTCTTCTGTTCATTCTTTTTTTTTTTTAATATATTTTTATCGATTTCAGAGAGGGAGGGAGAGAGAGAGAGAAACATCAGTGATGAGAGAGAATCATTGATCGGCTGCCTCCTGCACACCCCACACTGGGGATCAAGCCCACAACCCAGGCATGTGCCCTGACCAGGAATCAAACCGTGACCTCCTGGTTCATAGGTTGACGCTCAACCACTGAGCCACGCCGGCCGGGCTTTCTGTCCCTTTAAGAAAAGAGACCAGCACGCGGTGGAGTGGGTGTTGAAAGGCCATTCTTGCCTCCTTTCTGAGGACAGAAGGGATGGCAGCAGCTCTCACTATGGGACTCCCTGCATTTAGTGCTGGGTCCCTGTGTCACCTCAAACCAGCTCCCGTACCCCGAGCTCCCGAATTCCTGGACTCACGGGGATTAAGGAAAGAACATCACCCTGAAAAGCCCTTGGACCAGACCCTTCCGCACCCCCACTCCCAACCCTCCCCCCAAGTCCAACCTCAGGCCACTGCAGTAGGGACCAAACTGTGATCCGCTGTCACGTGACCCACACCGCGGCCCCACCCCTTCCTACTCACACCACCTGGGAATTTCAGTCGGTCCTTTGCCAACCCTAGAAACCCCACCAAATAGATCTGCAGAGCAGTGAGGTTGGAGGGCACGCCCCCAGCCTCAGAGATTTCACTCACGGGCAGAAACACCTTCTCATGTTTCCAAGTTCACATGATGAAAGCATATGAGGTCACAGCGCTCCAGAGGTGGGGCAGCCGCTGTGTCATGGTCTCCTGCCCTGGGGGCCTGTATCCGTGGAGTTCCAGGGCCTCTCCCAGAGCTGCAGCCGTGGGCACTGGGTCTGCAGGCACAGCGCATATTCGTTTATCAGGGCACCTGGGCCCGTGGTCCATTTCTGGCCCACCCACCGCTTCGCTTTGCCCAGGCCTGGCTGCTGGTGTTTTTCAAGGGCCTCCGAGCTCTGTTCTGGTTTAAATCTTTCTTTGTGGATGAACTGACCCCTTGGCTGTTGGAAATGGGACCTACGGTCCCCCGTGCTTAAAAGGGGACCGAACCTAAGGGCAGTGGTAGCCCCCATCCCATCGGGTTGGGTTGGACCTGCCAAGGGAGCTGAGGATGAAGGGTTGGGACGCATTCACCGAACATTCTCCCTGCAGTCCGGCCATAGCAGAGATCCTAACCAATGTGGATTCCATTTCTGGAGCTTTAAAAATCATCTCATTGGTCTTTACACACACACACACACACACACACACACACACACACACCCATGCGGCAGGAAGGACAGGCATCCCATTGTCCTGAGAAGGCAGAAGCTCGGAGTCAGAGGACTTACCCCAACGCAGAATGAGGTCAGGGCCAGGGCCCACTGCCGCTCCCTTCCTCCCACCCCCACACTCCCACCTCGTCATCAGCGGGGCAGACCGGGCGGTGCAGTCATCAGCTATGACTGCGCCCAGTAGGTGCCCCGTGACCTGGAGAGATAGTGCAGAGGGATGGTCCCTCGAGTGAGCCGGGGCAGCGAGAGAAGGCGGCCTGGGGTTCAAGGCCACAGACATGTTTCTTCCTGTCCTCTTAGGAAAGTGACTTTTTTTTCTGATTATAAAATACACTGTAGAAAATCTGGAAAATACAAGAAAGCTTCAAGCACAGAATTTTTTTAAAGTCCTACTTATTCTTAGTAACCCAGAGCAAACCGTATATATATAGATCTCAGTGATTTATATACACACGCACATACAGTACAGTCAGCCTGCGTTGTTCGCCGATTCCGTATTTGGGAACTTGCCTGCTTGCTAAAATCCATTTGTAATCCAACATCCGTCCTGTCACTTGCGGACACGGCATGTGCAGAGCAGCGGAACTGGTGTGGCCCACTGCGTGTTCCCCGCTGAGGCTGAGCAGGCGACGCTCTGCCTTCCTGTTTCAGCGCTTATGCTCTGAACAAGTGTCTTTTCCGTGCTCTCTTTACTGCCACGTCTATCTTCACATGGTTGTGCTTTTTGTCGGTCGTTGGACTGTTTTAAACGGCCCCCAGACATAGCCCTGAGTGCTGTCTATTCCCAAGCTCAGGAGCGCTGGGCTGGGCCTTACGGAGAAATACGTGTGTTAGGTGAGCTTCGTTCAGGCGGGAGTTGTAGTACCGCTGGCCATGAGGTCAGTGTTACTGGATTAACATACATTAAATGAGGTGTCTTCAAACAGGCACCTGACACTCTATTTCCCCTAGAAGCGTGGTCCGGTGTTCGCTAAGTCAGTGTTTGTCAGACTCTAGAACATAGCCGCACACACACTTACATTTACATACAATGTGTATAATTTGCTTGAGATTATGGTATTAGCCTGTCCCTTTTACCTGCTCCAGTGCCTGAACTACAGGAGAATGAGCGGGCATCTCCCGCTGGCCCCAGTCCAGCTGTGCCCAGCTGCTGGGGCAGGGGCAGGGCACGATGCCTGGTGCAGCAAGGCTGGCAAGGTTCGAGGGAACCTCGGTCAAGTGCCTGCACTCCTGGGCCTCCATCTGTCTCCAGGAAAGCGTGGGGAGTGTTTGGCTGGCCTGGGGGTTTGGGTTCAGCCCCCCACCACAGCCCGCCCCTCGCCACCAATCCATCTCCTCCAGGACTCAGAGGAGAAAGAAACCCAGACTTCTGGCCCTGGAGGCACTGTGCCTGAGAAGGAAACTCGGGCTGGAGAGTCTGAGGTTTGAAAATCACACAGGCCCCACGGCCGAGGTTGTGTAGGAAGGGGTTTCGGTGGTGGCTAATTCCTGTCAAAGCCTCCTGTTGGGGGGGAGCAGGAGGAAAGCCTCCGAGGCCCGCAGACACCCTGTGGTCTCGGTGCTTCCTCTTTCCCAGAGGCAGTCCCGGCTGCTCCCTGGGACTTGCTGCTCTGGGCGGAGGTGGGGGGGGGGGAGCAGGAGAGTGGGCAGAGAGGACAGGCCAGGGGGTGGGACGACCTGAGAGACACTGCCCGGCTCCCTTCCCACAGACCTCGGGCCTGCCTCCTATCTGCGAGGGCTTGACCTGGCGTCTGGGTTTCTTCCTCGTGAATTCATTCACAAAGCATAGATTTTTCCGCCGCGCGCAACGCTGGGCATATAGCACTCGGTGAATAAGACAGGCGTGGTTTCTGCTCTCACGAAACATAGAGCCTCGTGGAAAGCAGACTGTCAGGCAGTTGCAGTCAAGTGTACTTGACCTTGTGATGGGGAAGTGGGTGCCAAGGAGACATGCAGCAATGTTGGTGGGGAGGGAGCAGTCCCGGAGGGCTTTCTGGAGGAAGTAGCATCTGAGCTATGCCCTGTTAGTAGACTTGTGGAACGTCCCACATTCTGGATTTGTCTGATTGTTTCTTTCTGGTGCCATTTAGCCCATTCCTCTACCTCCTTTACTTCCAGTAAATTGGAACACAGGTCAAGAGGCTTTTGAGATTCAGGTTAAACATTTTGTTGACAATATTTGTCAGAAGATGATGTATATTTCTGTCTCTGTGAATCTGACTAGTCTGGGTATCTCATGTAAGTGGGATCACACAGTATTTGTCTCTTCGAGATGGGCCTGTTTCCCTTAGCGCAGTGCCCTCCGGCTTCATTCGTGGCGTAGCATGTGTCAGCACCTCCTTCCTTTCTGAGACTGAGTCATATTCCCTTGTTTGGATGTACCACATTGTGCTTACTCATCATCCGTCAGTGGACACCCCTTAGTCCCACCTTTTGGCTACTGTGCGTGAGGCTGCCATGAAGAAGTCTGCGCTGCATTTCTTAACACCAGGCCCCTGAGCATCAGCTTGGGTTGAGCTATTATCTGAAAGCCAGGGTTGCTGTGTGACGATGGCTTTGGTGACAAGTAACAGACGCCAACTCCGATTGGCTGAAACAGGAAAGGGAAGGTTCTGGCTTGTGTGGTGACATGTCCAGGATCCTGGATCGGGGCTCAAATGATGTCCCGGGACTCGGCCCCTCTGTCCCTCTCACCCTGCTTGCTTCCCACACAGTAACTCCTGGGCGGGGGGCCTTCTCCTCCCAGCAGCCATTGCAGTGGGAAAGGGGTCTCTGCCCTGATCACACCATCGGGAGTCCCAGATGCAGTCTCCTCGGCCCACCCCTGAACCATCGCGTGCCAGCGACAGGCAGTGCTCTGGTTGGCCCGCCCTGGACACATTCCTACCCTCTCCCGCAAAGATGGGAAGAGGGAGAGGGTGGCCTCCAAGGAAATCAGGCGCTCTTACCAACAGAAGGGGAAGGGGGACCAGATGAGCAGGAGCAACTGCTCTCAGGGCGAGTGTGGTGGGCCCAGGGCAAGGCCCCATGGACGTTAGTCATGGCGCTGAATTAGGGGAGGTCACTGTCCCCGTTTTAGAGAAAGGGACACTGTGTCCAGAGCGGTCAGTGCCCTGTGAGTCTCGCCCAGCGGCAGAACTGGCGTTGGAACCCGGTGAGCGTGCTCTGTTACCAACCCCCACTCACCGGGCACAGCCAAAGCGCTGGTCGGGACAATTCTCATTAAAAAAATTAGGTCTGGGCCTCAAAATGCAGACCATCGACTTGTGCTCAGAGGCTGGTTCCAGTAAACCAATTAGGCCTGTGCAGAGCCCTGTGCTGTCCGTGCAGGACTTTAACTTTGTAAACAGGGATCAGGAATGAACTGTGTAAGCAGAATTTTCCCCCTGTTTATGGGTGTATGCTTTTTATTGGTTTTAAGAAAAAAATAAAAATCTTTGATGATGTTTTCTCTTTTTTTTTTTCACGTGTTTTAATATATTTTTTTAAATCCTTACCCGAGGATATGTTTTCATTGATTTAAAGGAAAGAGGAAGGGGCCGGGGAGGGGCAGGTAGAGAGAGAGAGAGAGAGAGAGCGGCACCCATGGGTTGCCTCTCATACATGCCCCGACCTAGGATTGAACCCACAACCTTTTTACTGTACAGGACGAATCCACATTGGCTTTGTTCTTGACAGAGGGTCATCCAAACTTTGCTTAAACACCCCCCGGGGATGGCAACCTTTGATAGGCTGGTTTCTGGCTGCTCTCCTGAGAGGTGGCACTGAAGTCCAGGGCTGGCTCTTACTGGCTCTGACTGGCCTAGCTCAGGTCATGTGCTCACTCTTCAACTACTTCCCTTGGATGAGAAATAGTACCCACCTCCGCATCTAAGAAACTGTCGCCGAGGTGGGGGTGGAGGTTCCGGGGAGAAAGAAACGGTGCTCCGAGTGGAAGAAAAATTAATCCATACCGGGCAAAAAAATAACATATCCACTGCACACGTGTTATTTATCTTCGTTCATGTATGTGTTGTCTTTCCAGCTGACCCTCAGCTTGTGGAGGGCCAGGGACCTCTGTGTACCCCCCCGTGGCCTCTAACAACACTGAACCCCTCCTTTTTAATCAGCACTTCTCTGTTTCCAAAGAGCGTTCACATATATACCTATTTTGTCGTTGTCAGAACTACCCTATAACCACAGATCATTTGTGTGAGCCGGGACTGGGTTATGGGTGCTGATCCCTCAGCCCACGCGTGTCCAGGGCCACCAGCGTCCCCAGCCAGGTGCCCTTGGCCTCCTGCCGCCACCTCAGTTTGCCCGAATGCGTCGTCAGTGTATTTTTTCTGTGAGCACCATGACTTGTGACAAAGGTTGGAACGTGACCCTGCGGTTTACACAGTGGCTCCCCCTTCTCAGTCCTCACACTGTCACACTGAGCAGACGCTGGTGGCCTACTTCACAGATGGAGAAACTGACACGCAGGGGGAAAAGGATCGAACCCTACCTGGAGGACATGGTGTCCTGGCTTAGCTTATGAGAAATATAAGGAGGCTAAGGCTCCTGTGACTTCAATCAAAGCCAAAGTTTTAAGAATGACTCTGATAGCCCGGCTGGCATGGCTCAGTGGTTGAGCGTCGACTTACAAACCAGAAGGAAAGGGTTCAATTCCCGGTCAAGGCACATGCCTGGGTTGCAGGCTCGATCCCCAGTAGGGGTCGTGCAGGAAGCAGCCCATCAATGATTCTCTCTCATCGTTGATGTTTCTATGTCTCTCCCTCACCCTCTCCCTTCCTCTCTCTCTAAAAATCAATAAAAACATATATTTAAAAAAATAAAAAAGAATGACTCTGACAAAAAGAGCCAGCCCCCTGGCTCTCTGAATCGAGTGGGGAGCAGGAAATCCTTGCACTGCCAACAATCACAGCACCTCCGGCGCTGAGCTGGGTGCTAACGCTTTCCCGTGCTTGGTGTCGTTTAACTCTTTGCACAGCTCTCAGAGGTGGAGGTCATTATACCCATTTTATTGAGGAGGAAGCTGAGGCTCAGAGAGGACAAGTGACCTGTGTCACGTCATCCAGCCGGTCAGTGGCAGAGCTGAGATTCAAGCCCGGGTCTTTCTGACTCTGAACCTTGTGCTTTGCTCCCGAGTCCTGGCGTTGGGAAGGGCCCCCTTGGTGTTAACACCTGTCTCCCCTGCTCCTCTCTGCAGGTCTACATCATCCGGGTCACGTGGTCGAGCGGCTCCACTGAAGCCATCTATCGGCGCTACAGCAAGTTCTTTGACCTCCAGGTAAGGACTCGGGGCCTCCAGGGAGCTGCGGGGAGGAAAGACTGTCATTGGACTTACTTTCCATTTGGACTTCAGAGCCCAGCTCCTCACCCACAGTGGGCGAACAGTGCTCTTTTTTCCCCCTAGAATTAAAAATGCCGTCCATGTGCCCGCCTCAGCAGCACATACACTAAAATTAGCACGATATAGAAAAGGTGAGTGTGGCTCCTGCACAAGGGTGACATGCAGATGTGTGGACATTCCTCCTTAAAAAAAGAAAAAAGATGTCCACCACTTTGGGGACATATTGCTTTAGGCTTTGATCGTCAATATTTCCCAAATGAAAGAAAGGCTGCCTGCGGATGGCTCCAGAGCAGAGCATGGACATTGCTCTGGACATCGGTGTGGCTTTGGCGTGCAGATCTTGAACTTGTGTTTTCTTCAAGGACTCGGATGTGTCCAGTCACATTTGGTGAATAAATGAATGAATGAATCAATGAACCCACAACCGCGAGTGCCACCAATCCCATAGGGCACCCGGCCAATGTGGACAGCTCGGTGTCAGCTCACCCCCACGGGGGTAAAAGAACTACAACCTTTGGGACCGTAGCTTTATCTTGATGTCACCAAAGGCCAGCAGCTCAAAGCAAGCGTGTCTGCATGAGAAGTTACAGGGCCCAATATGACAAAATGCAGTTCTTCAGAAAACACAGGCCCCAAGAACTTACCCGGCTTCCTGAACCAGCAAGTGCTCCCTGCTGGGTAGTGAGGGACCCCTGCTGAGCTGAGTGTCTCCCTTTCCTCTGTGCCTGGTAGGGTGCTTCAGTTGCAGGAAACCCTACTCAAACTGGCTTAAGTCAGTGGGGAGTTCTGGGCTGGTGTAACTGCATGTCCCAGGAGAAGAAGCCGTGTGGGCTTCAGGCACCGCTTGATCCAGGGTTTTCCCCTGTGTCCTTTCACCCAGCTCTTTCCTCTCGTTCTGCATTTCTGCTTCCATCGTGTTGGCTTGATCCTCAGATCCCACGTGGTTGCAAAATGCTCTGGGCACACAGTCAGCAGGAAAGAGGGAAAGGTCACTTCCCAGAAGTTCCAGCGAACACGGGTTGTGTGTCATAGGCTCATCTCTAAGCCTGTCAAGATGGTGAAAGAATGTGATGGCCAGTGGGATTGTCGGGTTCCTGCACCGCCCCTGGCGTCGGGGGTGGGGACGTGGGGACTGAGAGCGGGAGAGAACAGTTGCGATCGGGTGTCAGGTAGGCGTTGTGGGGCCGTCAGCAGAGAGCCCTTGCCCTCCACTCACCAGCCTCCTGGCCTCGCATGTTCTCTGGAAGTTGGGTGATGTTAACCACACGCATTCTTGGTTGTATGGACCTCATCTGTCCCTGAAAATGGCAAACGGAACAGTCAGAGCCTGTGTTCATTCTTTCCAAGGGGGAGCGGGGACAGCCAAGTTCTCCTGGCCGGTTTCCGTAACTGCCAGCGTCACGTGTGCTGGGAAGCGATTGAGACACCAGTGACCTCAGTGTTTGACATGGAATGCATGTGGTGATGTTCTGTGTTCACTGTGTAACGAAATCAAACAGGATCATACACAGATGATGTGTTTCTTCTGGTCCGCAGCAAGCATGCTCCGAATGTAAATAGACGAGTGTATAAAAGAGGGTCAGATTCCATCCACCATGGACTTGGCAGGAGCAGGCCCGGGGCGGGGAAGGCAGATGATGGCGGTGATGGCCGGCGCCAGAAGCAGGAGGCACGGTCCTGTGTGATAATGACCGAGAGCCACACCCTCGTACCCAGACCACGGGTGTTTATGCAGATCCATTGCGGCAGGTCTTCGGTTCAGAGTGAGAATTGAGTCCACGTTTTGCAAGTGACTGACTTCTCATGCCCCGAGGGTCTGCATAGGGAGGGCTCTGGCCTGTGTGATGCCTCCAAGAAAGGACACGGGGCAGAGAACAGGGGCAGGCATGATGGCTCGCTTAGGGATCACCGACACCCACAGCGCAAACACCACTCAGCCAGCTCAGACGGGAAGAGAGGAGGGGGGCGGATTGATGGCAACAGGCAGGGGAGCCCCATGGAAACAGAGCAGGACGTGCAGCCGGGCCCGCTGGGGCTCAGGACCCGCAGCAGGATGACCCTGCGCAGGCCCGGCGGCTCCCCGGCCGCGTGTCACTGTGGCCGCAGGATCTGCCGTCGAGCCTGCTTCCTTTTCCCAACGACCTCTCCAGCCCAGCTTCCTCCACTTGCCTGTTGGCCCACATCCCCACACAGCACCTTCGGCCCCCGAGTGGAAGAGTCCTCCCCTGTTGTCAACGCACTGGGGTTTCTAGGTGCCGATTCCGGGCTCCGGGGTTGAGAATCCGATTGTCAGAGACCTGGGTCGGTCCACCTGACCTGGCGGCTGCGGCGGGAGAGGTGGGGTTGCTGGTGCAGCAGGAGCTGGAGGAGGAGGGCGGAGCAGAGGCGGGAGGAGGCCCTGGGAGCACCGGGGAAGAGGCAGGGGCGGAGGAGGTTGGCTGTCGTCAGCTCCCTGTTCCAGGAGAGCCCCGGCTTCAGACCTCGACTTCAGGGTGAGACAGGCTGGCTTCCGGCCTCAGCCTTTTGCCCCTTCAGGTTTCAGCCTGGTGACGCCTCTGTATGTGTCTGAGCCTCCGTTTCCCCGTCTGCACATTGAGAATGAAAGCCCTTTCCGCGTGCACCTGGTATGACCGAGTTGTGCCTGGCTCTGTACGCCTGTCAGCTGTCATCTGCTGTCCCTCCGCTCAGACGGGACTTGCCCGAGGGGACCCTGTTTGGGAATGCTGGCCAGGGCCGGACCGCAGGCGCCCTGCCCCAGAGCCTGTGCTCCCTGCACCCTCCTGTTGTGACTCAACTTGCGGATTTCTAACCAGAACTTGAAAGTGAAGTTTTTCCGCCCCGCTCAGCATAACCGGTAATAATTGGGGGTTTGCTGTAGCGTAAATACGGCCTCAGACTGCCCTCCTGAAAAGAAGTCGTCGAAAGACGGCGCTTCAGCCGCCTTTAAAGAGTCCCAGATGGGCAGCTGGACGGGAAAGGCGTGGAATTCCAGAGGGTCCCCTCTCCGGGACCCGCCGGCCTCCGGCCCCCGCAGCGCAGAGGGGGCAGCTGGAAGGAGTTGGGGCAGGAGTCAGCTGTTCCCAAGGCCCAGGCGGGGAGGCCAGCCCGTGTGGGGCTGCAACACCCTCAAGTTCGATGATTTCACGATTCCGCCCTCCCTTCCCCTCCCTCCTGTCTGGCGAGTAGCCTTGGCTTTTTTTTTTTTTTTTTTTTTTCAGAAGAAACTTGGCTCTCACACACATCATCACTTCAAAAAAAAAGTATGGGGAGGGCCGAGCTTTCTCGAGGAACAGCTAAGCCAGTGTGGGGTAATGGAAAAAGTCAGGAGGCTTGGGGCCCAGCCACCTGTGCTGTGTGGCCTTAGGCAGGCCCCTTAACCCCTCTGTGCCTGATGGCGCTCATCAGCCGCATGGGGTGATGATCACAGAAACAGCCGGCTTTCTAGAGCTCGGCCTGCTCAGCCTCTGGGTGCCGTGACTCATGTAATCCTCGTGTCAAGCTTAGCACCTTGTGCAGATGGAGAAACCCAGGCTGGGAGAGGGCACAGGGTTTGCCCCAGGTCACACAGCCAGTGGGCATCGGAGCTGGGATTTGAAGCCGGGCAGGCGACAGCACAGACCACAGTCCTAGCCGCTCTGCTGTCCGGGCTCCCAGTGGCTACTTGACAAGGTTCCTATGGAGTTAAAAGCGATGATGTGTGTTGGGAAGAGGCAAAGCCACAGAGACAGAGCAGATTAGTGGTTGCCAGGCGCTGGGAGGAGGGGAGAGTGGGAGAGACGGATGGGTACAGGGTTTCTCTCCGGGTGGATGAAAACGTTCTGGAATTAGATGGGGGGATGGTTGCACAACCTTCTGAATATACCAAAAACCCCTGAATTGTATGCTTTAAAAGGGTGAATTTTCTGGTATGTGAAGTGTATCTGAATTTTTTTTTATTTTTTTGAAGTGATGACGTGTGTGAGAGCAGTTTCTGGGCTGTGGAGCCCTGAGCAAATGTCAGCTGTTGGGATTATCGGGAATTGGCAGCGTTTAGAGCAGGGGATGGTGCCAGTTTAATAGAGTGGGTAAGATCCTGGGCGCGGGTCCAAATGCTGCCACTTTCTGGTTGGGAGATCTTGTTTTAGTCAGAACTGTTTTAGTCGCAGATGACAGAAGCCCGGTTAAGATGGATTATTCAGAAAGAACATGGATGAGCTAAACGCACCTGAGAGACCAAGGGGAGTGGGCGTCAGGTCTGGCTGGATCTAGGGGCCACCGTGTCAATCAGGACCTGCTGTTCTCCACTTGACTTTTTTCGTGTCCAGGCACGTGGTGGCCACCGGTCCAAGCTGTACCCGTGAGTTCCGTTCGGCGCCTTCAGGGAAAAGAGAGCACCCCGACAGTTTAAGCAAAAGTCTCGTTGATTCATCGGGGGCCAGTGGCCAGCCAGTCAGGGCCATCCCAGGGACGAGTGAAATCAGCATCCGCCAAAGTGTGTAACTGACAGAGAAGGCTCCCCAGAAGAAAGCAGAGCACTGCTTCCAAGGAAGGGCGGGTAGCTGCGGGTAACAGAGAACAGTCAGTGCCCCCTCCGGTGGGGGCAGGGCACACAGGCAGGGGGAACAGCCTACAGAGAGGCCGCCGGGGGTAAGAAAGGAGCTGGGCTCAGGCTCCTTTGTGGGAAAAGAGCCTTAAAATCAAACACTGGCAAACATGCCCCCTTTACGACAGTTCACTTTCTGATGGGATTGCCTGACTCTTGTCTCAGAAAATCTGGACCCTGATAGTCAGCCGTCACCACTGGTTGGCCTCTGGCCACGCGTGTCATGCACATAAGGATGTAGACCAGGGGTCCTCAAACTTTTTAAACAGGGGGCCAGTTCACTGTCCCTCAGACCGTTGGAAGGCCGGACTATAGTTTAAAAAAAGAAACTATGAACACATTCCTATGCACACTGCACATATCTTATTTTGAAGTAAAAAAACAAAACGGGAACAAATACAATATTTGTATTTGCATGTGGCCCGCGGGCCGTAGTTTGAGGACCCCTGATGTAGACCATCGGGCCCCGGGCATGGAATGGGAAGCCCTGGTGTCGGGTCCCAGCTGCCTGTCTTGCCAGCTGTGTGGCCTCGGCGGGCCTCTCTGCCGCTCCCTGTCTGCCCTCGCTGGGTCCATCAGAGTGTGGCAGAGGGCACCGGGGTGATGG